TTCTAGAAAATAGATTTAAATTTAAGCCTAAACCTAAATGTTAGACCTAGATCTACACTCTAGTGTATGATTAAAACAATAATTTGATTTTTCTACATTATCTGTTGCTTCTCTAGATCTATTACTAACTAAATCTAGATCTACATTAATACGAGTTTTTTTTACTTCATTATCTATATTAATAAACCAGGAAACTTAGTTTTAATAATCTTTTATAAGTATTTTATTACTACTTCCGGTAGAATTGATAGCAAAATGGCTACTTTCGATTTGGTGGTCATTTTGGCATTCATATACCAAGAGCGCCATCCAAAATAGCTTAATAATCACACGTGATTCTTATGTAGATATGGATACTACAAAGTACTAACCAATATAAATAATTACAAAACAAAAATAAAAAAGTTATCATAGCTGGAACACACCCTAATTTTGGAAACTTAAAAAAAACGGTATAGTAAACCAATCCCGTTCAATTTGGTATCAAAAGTATCGCCATTTTCTCCCCGACAAAATTATACTAAAATCTAGAAGATCGGTTAAAAAATAATGACGTTTTACGCACTTTTCCGACAATTACCGGGGACGCGAATTAAACCATGAGGACCAGCTTTTAAGCACACTTCCGGCGTACAAAAATAGCGATGTTGAAGTACCTACTCTAGAGATCTAGAATTTATCATCTAGAATAAAAAAGTTTAGACTAGTACTACTAGTCTAACTTGAAAATGAACGTTAGCGTCATGGATAGACGAAAATAATTTTAAATACATTTAATAAATCTAAAGGGTAATAGTTTAGATGCAGCCCTTATGATATATATATACCTATATAGCGGCCACCATGTTGTTTTTAAGCACATTGATCTCCCTCTTCTATGTTGAACTAAAATAACTCTCTTTTTAAAGAGTTTTTTGGCTCTTATGCTGACAACTTATGTTGCTGTTTTTTTTTTTTGTACGTTTATTTACTGAAATGAAGGTCTAAATAAAATGTTAACAATAAATCGAACTTTTTTCTTTCATTTTTCTTCTTCTTATCAAATTATTAATTTACAAAAATATCTAGTTAGCAATTAGATATATAATGATCTATTACGTCACCAAGCTAAGCGAAGTAGGCCTATTGATAAAATAAAATAAAAATATATCCATACATGTTTATTTATTTTTATTTTTTTTTACAAAAATATGCTTTATGACATAGAGATCTATATAGAGCAGGGGTGCGCAACTTTTTTCTACCGAGGGCAGCATTTAAAAAATTGGGTACGCATATATATATATATATATATATATATTATGCAGTAATTGTCTATGTAGATCACAAAATTTCACAACAAATGCATCGTATTATTTAATATAAATTAGGCCTATTTAACTATTTACTCGTGCATAATTTTCCAGAATCTTGGAACTAGCTAACTAGTTGTTGTTTTTCTTGTGACTGCTTGTCCATTACAGTCAATCATCATCAATCTGTTCTAATGCTTGATAATTTTCAAACAAAAAAGGTTTGTTCAAAGATGAATGTGGTTCCAAATAATGTGAAAGTTTAACAGCAAATTTTTTGTTTAACTCCCGAGAAAGAAGTGGCTGGAACTTCTTTTTCAGATCATAATTTGCTTGGAGGTATTTCCTCTGGAGCTGAACTAGCTTCTGCATTAGATGGTATTGAAAATTGGTGCCAAATTCTTGACGTCTTCAAATTTGCTTTCAAATTTCACAATTAAGGAATCCAAATAAGTCTTGTAGCCTACTTTTCAACCATTTCACTAGAAATAGTTTCACCTTTTACCAATGAAAATAAGAAACCCTGATTTCACTTGCTGGCCTCAAGAAATGAAATAGCTTTGTTTGAAAAGATTTAAGATGCACATACATTTCATGTGCAAACAACATGTTGCAGTGTTTCCGATGTCTTCAACTCTTCATAAGAAAAATTAGTAACAAAGTCACAGTCAATGTCCTTCAAGAAACTTAACAATTTCTTCATTGAGATTCCACATTATTCTAATGCTAGGCCAGTGGATACTACTGTGTTACCGAACATCGAAATGTTTTGTTTCCAAATCTTCAATTACTTTTCGGAATAGCCAGTCAGGACCGGCCTTTGATAATTGGAGTCCATTGGCAAAGTGCGAATTTGGTAGCACCAAATAAAATTTAAAAAATAAAATTAACTGCGAACTGAAAGTATACAATTTATTAAAAGCCTAATGTACTTCAACAATAACAGTGAGGATTAGTTTCGCTATTTCTTCTCTAAATTTGATAACACAGTAAGTCTTGTACAAGGCCCCCAACATCCGTAGGCCCTAAGCAGCTGTATAGTTTGCCTATGCCTAAGGTTGGCCCTATGCCAAAACTGTTATTTTTTGGCTTATGATCTTTTAACTTGATATTCAATACAGCTTTGTGTAAACTTTCCCTTTATTAGTTTATGGTTGTTCTTTATTTTTATTAAAAAGCCTTTTTCTCAGACTAATCACGGGCTCCATCAGTTGTTACCCTTGCCATCTTGTAGGCTACAAGCCAACCAACTCTTCCAACACAGTTCTTCATAGCATTGAATAAATACTGGCGTGAACTTGTGTCTTTGACTGATTTTTTCGAATTATTGTCATTTAAAATAATCTTCGTTTACTTTAAACTTTTTAGAATGACGTTTAGAGACATCGTTTCTTTAGCCTACTCATTATTAAATGAAAAGAATCAAAAGTTTTAATAAATTAAAGATATTTACAATTATTTTTATATTTGTGTAATGTGTGAGCACACCTGATTTCTTTAGGTGTCCACGGGCCGCATAAAACACTTCGCTGTCCGTAATTTGCCCACCCCTGATAGAAAGCAATGGCATAGTACGGGACTTGTATTACTATAGGAAATAAAACATTTTATTTTAGAAGGAAGCAGTCATGGGCGCTCGCGGGATTTTTGGCAGGGGGTTGCAAGTCGCCATTCATGGCTCTAAATCATAGCTGCAACTTTTATTACAATGAATATGAAAGAAAAGAAATGGTGCACCACGCTACACATAGCCTACCTATGCGATATTAAAGACCAACTGTAGAGTTGTTTTTTTTATCGAAATTATGATGGCTATTGATTTGGATAGTAGCTGGTATCAAAGATAGTTCTTAAAAATTTGAGTTTTAAAGAAATAGCGTAGCATACGCCGCTACTTTGCATGGCCGGTTTTAGGCCACTGCAACCTAAGCGACCGCAGTGGGCCCCCACTTTCAAAGGATCCGCACTTTCATATGACCCGCGCTAATTCAAGGTGTATAAATTATTAAACTAAACCATTTTATAACTTGAAACAGATTTCCCGCGCCCTCCTGTTGATTTACCAGGAGCTCCTGGAAATCTCCCAAAATTGCAAAATATACGAAAAAGTCCTTAAAATGTACGGAAATATATAGAAAAAAATTGTCATTTTGGGGTGTCATTCAATATGGAAAACAACAATCCTACGCGCCATAAATAAAAACGGCATTATGCATTAGCCGTAATTGTGTAATCTGGTGAAAAAAGCTTCTCGCACCTCAAACTAATGAAGAGTTACTTGAGGTCAACAATTCTCAAAGATAGATTGAAATATTTGGTAATTCTTGCTATTGAGAGTGATCTATGTAGGAAACAGAATAATCATGATAATGACTTTGCTACACGCAAGGCTCGTAATGTAATTCTGTACGTAGTAAAGAATGATTAAAATGCATCGACGAATTTATTTTCTAATACAAACTCTTAAATTTCACTTATTGTCCGCTTCCCTACCCAAACTTGGCCTTTCGAAATCCGTTTCTCATAGTGCCCCACAATGCTTAAGTCCGGCCCAGCTAGTTAGTGACGGGTTAAATAGCAAAATACTTAGTATACTTAGTAGATAAATTCTTCTCTTTCCATGACTTCTTGGCCACAATGGATTAATCCGCGTTGCTATTTAGTGTTTGTAAAATGTTTTACAAGTTTCGAATGTTCCTTCAGAGTTGAAGATAGTTTACTTCTTAGTCCAAACCTCCCGCAGGACGAAGGGGGATGGGAGCAGGCAGGGTTTGACAGTCCAGTGCGCAGCCATCCGTAGCGACGTGTGAATACCAACTTGTTCCCCCCCCCCTCTTGTTTTGTCGTGGGGTTACTATCCGCAGAAATAAGAGAGGGATCTTTCCTTTACTTCTTGCTCGTCCAAACTGTTGAGCGAAGAAGAGAATTATATATATAGATATATACTAGAAAAAGTCATTTGAAACTGTACAAAATATCTAATAACAGTCATATCGTGAGAGGGGGGATGTCAGGGGGAGGTATGGCGAGAGTGAATGTTAGTTTGATATTTTGGTATGATAGTTACATCCCCTTGTATATGTATTCCCAGGTTGTGAATGTGAACAGTCTTGCACGTGTTGTGAACTGGATGGTTAAGTATTCGTTGAATGTAAATGTTTGTAAAATGTTTTACATGTTTTCCGATGTTCCTTCAGAGATAATTACTTCCTAGTCCAAACCTCCCGCAGGACGACGGGAGCCGGCAGGGTTTGAAATCTGGACCATCGACAAATCTGAACGACAGTCCAGCGCGCAAACCACACGACCAGGCAGCAATGTAAGAAAGAGTGTGTTAAGTTAGTGATCTCTTGTTCCCGGTCCAGATTGGACGTTGCTTCCTGGACTGGTGTTATGCATATGTTTCCTAAAGTTGATGGACTGATAGTTTTGTATTACTATTTATTGAAGTTGATGTCATCGTGTGCTTATTGAATATTAAAGTATTATTTATATTTCCATGGACATCTAAAGTTTGAGTTAAAGTGTATCAAGTAGTAATTGTTCCTATTTGAATAACTTAGCAAGTATTAAGCAATTGTAATTGAGTATTGAAGAACCCCCTACGACAGGGGGCAGATTTTGAGTTTGTGTTTCCACACTAACTGTCTTTGTACAAACCTTGTATTTAATGTCCTAGATAGAAGAAATAAATTAACTACACAATTTTGTTTTTGCAAAGAAACAAAAATATTTATTTGATTAATTCAGACATTACACCAAGAAACATTATACTGAACAATGTGTCAATTTCTTTTTCATTATATTAATTTTAACTATTAAAAAAAAAACAGAAATGTCCAGATAGTACAATAATAGTAACATATTAAACAAAATTGTATTCTTAACTCTATAAAACAATACTACAGTAATATTAACCTATTATAAAGACACTATACTATTGCCTACAACCAATGTGGGAAACTTTTTTCGGACCAGTGGTGATCCAAGAGGCAGATGATGTAAACTTTACCTGTTTCCATCTTTAAGGGTGTCAAATGGCCCATGCAATGACCAATCACATTTACTTTCACTAATAATATTAATGTAGCAAATGTATGCAATGCAGTTTGAAAGTCCAGTTAATAATATTTCCATTGAAAAGATTGTGTAGGGTGGCTACTATATTGCAGTCATAGATGCACTAAATTATAACACAATGAATTCTAAAATGTTAAGCAATAATAATAATAAACAACAACAACTTATTTAACATTTGATTGTGTATAAAACATACAAATCCAATTTTGATTTTTACAGTTGATTGCATATGAAGATAAAAACAAACAATAAATTATTTACAAAAAAAAAATAATTAACATTACATTTTCATTAATGAATACATTCTTTAAAATTGACGATCACAACAAACTGTCACTAAGTCTCTAAAGTTGAAACTACCTAATACCTACGATGTTTTAGTGACCATATTTACAAAAAAAAAAAAAGTCTCCTATCCATATACATATGAAACTATCATCAAAATAGACAGTTGACACTTCTCCACATATAGAAATGCTGTTGATTTTTTTTTTTTCCTGTTTAGAATGTTTTGCAGTCAGCATATGATCAACAAATGGTTATTTTATTTTCGCAAAGAGATATCAATAGTATTAAAAATCCAGACAAGATTCATACATATGTCTAAAACCTTTGAGTAAAACAAACATACTTTGAACTGATTTTCCGTCCTGGTTGTCATGGTGGGAGTAAAAGTTTATGGACTAAATTGACATTTATAATACTGTTCATGTAGATCTTTTTAAAAATGGCTAAAAAAAATATGTTAATCGACTATTAGGAAAAGAATAACTTAAAACTTAATATAAAGATTTATTTTTTTTAGCATTTTGTTAATTGAACTAAAATACTTATGTAACACCAGACAAAAATTATTTTTTTTTAATTCCAGGTTAATGCAAAAAACAGATTAGCTAATTATGTCCAATGAATGATCTGTTTTAAAAATTAAAAACAATCAACAATAACTATCTCAATTGGCAGAAAAACATATGTTTTTAATAAATGTCCAGATATTTTTTTTTCTTTGATCAATTTATTTTTTAAAAAGTGAAGGAAACAATTAACTTTTATTCACAGTGACCTGTTAGCTCTATATGCTCATGTAACAATACATGATTTAAATTCTCAAGACATATAAACCAGCATAGCTCACATATGATATAGAAATTGGCATCATTATGTATGCATGGCATACATGGCAATTAGAGATTCACCGCAACAACTACTAATTATTATTTATTACACATTAAAAAGTGAGAATGCACCAATCAGGATGAACGAGCCATTATTTAACACTAAACTATTGCAGTAGTATATTCTTTCATATAGGCCAGTGCTAGTATCTTATCATTCATTTTAAATTAAACAATAATATGTTCAATTAAATATTGTCATACATATAATTTAAATAATCACAAAGAATTTATTGCAACATTATTAATGAATAATCAGACAGAGAGAAGACATTCAGACTGACATGGAATTAGAAAAGCGTATTATTATTTGCGATGTAATTATGAGCATACATTTGCTAATAAACAGCAAAGCTTCATTTGAATACTTGGCACAGGAAATATGACCAATATTTACACAATAGACATAATACTTTTGAAAACAAATGTTTTTGGGTTGCTACGATCTTTGTAAGAAAACAAATTGATTAAATTGATACATATACATTCATTAATAGTAGACAGGAGAAATACTTCCTGTGTACTCTTTCTTTAATAACCAGCAGGAAATTAATATTTTGATTTGTTTACTTTATTTTTATCAAACTAATTTATTTCTTCCTTCTAAAACGACAATCATTGGCATTAACATTTCTTCTGAATATTCTATTGATTTAGATACATTAAAAAGCTTTACTTTCCATGCTAAGTGCATTGTTTCCCCTAGATTATTTTTCTGCCCAGGGATTCTTTTTAGAATGTTAAACAAGAAACAGCACTTTTAAGATTAAAAAAACTGTTGCCAAGATTATGTTTTTTATTTTTTGTTTCTATGTAGTATTTTGTAATAATTCTGAACTAACCTGTCATACAAAATTAAACTGAACAATGAGCATTACAATGATTTCAGATCTTGTTAGTGATTCAATTACAAATTGGTTTCATTACCAATAATTATTTACCATATCCATTCATTATGAATGACCAATGTATAACTTATCATTTTAACATAATACACTTCTGAATGAAACATTCAGCTTGTCTTATTGTTAACAAAAGATTCACTGGCAAGAAAACAACAAAACAAAAACAAGTATCACTGTGTTCAGAGTGATCCTATAGATCTAGTTCTCAGGGAGTAAAACAGTGCACTAAGAAACAGTGCCGGCTTCATTCCCATCTCCCTCGGCACAGAGCGGAGGGATTGGAGTGGGGGTAAGCTCCCCTCGCAAGAACTTGTCAATGAAATCTGAGGCTGTTTTAGATGTGACCTTGACCTCATTGCAGACATAGACATTTTGCTCAGGGCTGTCCAAGATGACTAGAAGTGGACATGTGTCATCCAGGTCAGCAAAATCACGAACATTATCTGAGAATTCATCCTGGTAATAAATATACAAACAGATAAAATGTCAGGCAAAATTTAAAAACAAAAAATTATAACTATCTCATTTTTTTCAGGAATAGTCTTAATTTAATAAATATTATTTCAAGAAGCAATCTGCAATAAAAAAAAAAAGATACAGACAAATGTGCTAAAACACTTTCAGATCTCATCAAAATTTAATCACCAAAAAAAGAGGTAATACTAAAAAAAAATCCTCAAAAATGTTATTCCAGTGATTAATTTAAAAAATAAAACTGAGGCTATTAATATTAAGTAAATTTCTTTCTTAATGATTTTATTATAATATCCAACGAGCACATTTTGAAAAAAAAAAAATTACTAAATAAAAATAATAAAAAGAATAGTTGCAACTAAATTATGCCACACTGAGTCTTAATCAAAGTGAGTTTAAAAAAACTGAGTCTATCAACAGAAGGGTTTGTATACGTGTAATTAATTAACATATCATTATACAAAAAGAATGTCATCTTCTTTTTTCAATTTTTACACTAAATGAGCTTTTAAAAATGCCATCAAGTGGTATAACCTTAAATAATACATATTGTTATTTTCAATATTTGCTTGTCATTATACATAATTTGCTCAAGAATTGTTATTAAACAAATTCTATATGTTAGAGAGGTTCATGTGTAAGACACAACTGACTACTAAAATCTTTTTGGCAAATGTTGTTGGCTAAAAGACCTTCAACTTAATGACTATTTAATTTATCCAATAAAGATGGGAAAATAAAGGACAAATAATTAAAGCTGTCTGAATGAGCAGGGGAGAATTTCTTACAAAATGTCTAAAAATAGTATTGTAATACATATGAATACAAATTCCAAGAAAAAAAACAACCCTTTCCTATAAGTTTAAAAATCTAAGCTATGAGGTCACTTTAAAGTTGGTCCCATTTTTTGGGCTAGTGAAATCTAGGCTATGATTTCTAGATTTCTAGGGCTATTCATTTTTTTTTTATAAATATGCACACTCATAAGTGCAACAACTGGTGATTATGAATATTAAAATTTTAACTTTGAACCAAAATTAAAAATCTAAATCTATCAAAAAATTGTTATTTTCATTCGTTCCAAACAGAATTCACTAAACAATAGAGCTATTGTGACCACCCAACAACTATCTGGCATTATTAAAAAAAAAATTCTCAACAATCTTTTTTTGGAAAGCAACACAATGCCCATCAACCTGATTAGCAACTGGGAGAATGGATACACAGTGGCCCAATAAAAATGTCAGGAGTTAAATTTTATTGCTTTAAAACAACCTTTAAGATACAACCTTATGAGTAAAAGTAAGATAAAGGGGAAGAACCAATAGCTGATTTGTAACTTTTTAACATTTTCAGAAGCCAAATGTCAGGTAAAAAGGAAATCTTACCTCTCCTGCTAGAAAGAAGAATAAATCTCTTTCCTCCCCTTTCTCAGCTTCTTTGGTAGCAGCTTCAGTGAGAACTAGTCTCCCTTGTTTAAGCCCAGCTTCTGTACCATCTAAAACAAAACAAGAAAAAAAAAAGCCTCATTAGTTATATGTAACAAAAATACTAGAATTTAGAAGGAATATTATATATAGAATCTGATGTACCATATTTTCAAATTATTGTAACATATGCTTCAATTAGAGATGACACAAAAGGTATTTGGGAGCCCAAATTGTAGGTAATAATAATATCTAAATTACTATTCTTTTTATTTTTGCAAAATCACAATTATTCTTTTGGGTCACACTATACCTGATGATATGAACCATATTAAAAATCCAATTTATTTTAAAATACATAAAGTACATTATGGTCCAATAAAATGCAGAGTGCTTGGTATCTCACCTGTAAAATAAATGACACACATATTCTCATTCAAATGTAAGGATGACAAAGGAGTTAGTTCTTCAATAGGTCTGGGATGCCATGGAAACTCCTGAAACAGAATCAAAGAGATACTTTCACTTGTAAAGAAGGTTAATGGCATTTAGGAACAGATAGAAAGGAATAATTTGTCAGACTTTCCCTTAGTTTTGTTTTCATAAATTAAAAATCTTAAGACGATACATAGAAAATAATATTCTGTTATGGACTAAAAACTTCAGAAAAAAATTACTAAAACTGGATAAAATGCTGTTTAAATTAAATATAAATTATTGATATATTACCTTTGTTAATGTTACAATTTAAATATTAGTGTATCTTGAGCAAATTACTAAGTAATCCATTATAAACCTATAATTAAATTTTAAGAAACCAACTAATGTTGAAATTTACATTAATTATTGTTACCAATGTGGGAAGCGTGGTTGAGAGGCTAAGTACGCTTGAACTTGCCTTGGCTACCTATGAAGGGGGCTTGAGGTTTGACATCCGGCTTGAGCAGAGTTATGTTTACTGAACCTATAGGCAGCATGAAAAACCTTTCCCCAGATACACCCTCCTCCCCACTGATCCACAAATGAGATTGGTCCATAGTGCTCTGAGCATGTTATAAGCATGAAAGTAGCGCTATATAAAAGCTATAATTATTTATATATATGACGGGAACTAATGGTTGACTAAATTTATGAAGGAAGCTAATTGGATCTTTTGAATGGAATGTGTGAAAGATATAACAGTAAAATGAGATAATTTACTTAATTCAAGCATTAAACTATCAGAGGGTTATCAAATAACAAAATCTACATTTTTCATCCACTCGTACCATGTTTAGAAAAAGAAACACTCTCAAAAAGATAGAATGTAGTAAGAAGTACGTGGGGCTTTTTAAAAAATAATTATTTTTGAGCCACCCCAGAGAAGGATACAAATTTGACCTTACAAATCCAGAAATGACCCCCACCATTTTTTTCCCCCACTTCT